TGGTGTCCATCATATTTATGAACATAATCAAAGAATCAGCATGACAAAACCCATCACATGCAAAATCTGTAGAGCTCATTTTATACATAAAGTTGACTGCTTGCGTTTCTTAGTACACATTTAACTCAAATGCTTTTTGAGAAGATGTTATATTCCAGGTCTGATTTTAAGCAAAGAAATAGAAAAACTCTCAATGCTGTTACACACAGTGCCAAGGAAACCAAGACGACAAGATTTGATAGTATCATCAGCACAGCTGGAGGCAGATGAAAGCAACGGAGACATTTTTCAACAAGAAAGATGACAACTTTTCTTAAATGAAATTAAGGCTTCCACTTACACTTGTGATGCTTGGAACATCTGCATTCAATATTCCAGTTTTTTACCCTCTCAGTAGGACACATAGTAATGAAGTACCCAATTCCCAATGGTTTTCAAAGAGATTTAGGCACCTGCCTCACTTTTGTTCAAGACTTCTTTTTCCATGGTATTTCCAGCTATGACAAGCTGCACACAAACCAGGAGACTCCATTTGCCACTTTGCTGCCAACCTACAGTTTGCCCTAGTATAAGTTGCTCAACTTATGTATTCGTCTTTTTAGCCACCCCATCTGTGAAGCAAAAAACCCACTCTATTACTCATATATTTAAATCATAGAATCAGTAAAGTTGGAAAAGGTCTCAAGAAACATCAAGTCCAACCGTCAACCCACACCACCTAACTCACTAAACCATGTTCCAAAGCACCACATCTACACGTTTCTTGAACACCTCCAGGGATGGTGACTCCACCACTTCCCTGGGCAGCCTGTCCCAATGTCTGATCACTCTTTCAGTGAAGAATTTTTTTCTAATATCTAGCCTAAACCTCCCTTGGCACAACTTGAGGCCGTTTCCTCTTGTCCTATCACTTGTTGCTTTAGAGAAGAGGCCAGCACCCACCTCACTGCACCCTCCTTTCAGGTAGTTGTAGAGAGTGATAAGGTCTCCTCTCAGCCTCCTCTTCTCCAGACTAAACAGCCCCAGCTCCCTCAGCCGCTCCTCTTTAGACCTGTACTCCAGACCCCTTTAAAATGCTTTGAGCTTGCACTAGAGGTACATTATAAATACATGCATATTTGAATTACCAGCACCCAAAAATAACAGGAAAAATAGTTGTTGGTACACTAACTAGATATGATCAATGCCAAATAAAAATCTACTCTGGTTTTGTTGAGGTCATTTAGCGCTGTACGATTCTCATGAAGTAAATATTTTGGAAAGTGGGGAATGCTCTGAGATTAAGCAATACATTACATTTTTTGATCAAATGCCAGAAGCCATAGGTGAATAGGAAAAAGACATCAGTAATTACAGTTCGTACTTCAGCTATTTCAAAACCCTTTGCTTCAATGAGCAAGTATTAACTGGACAGACACTCCTTCACAAATTAGAGGTTGCAAAGGCTTATTACACACCATATTTATCTTTGAAACTTGTCCAACAAAATTAAACTAAAAGAAATTATACAGATTATGGTTGCAGGCAAAAAAACTATTAAAACTCTAACAACTATATATATGTTTTTATCTGTCAAACTGTCCCTGCAGCCACTCTTTGGTTTAGGGGCTCAGGAATGCAGTATTAAGAAATACTATGAATTGTATTAGTATGCTGTTGTCAAACTTCAAACTGGCTGTGTTTTATCATAGGAGTTGTTAAACAATTTATTTCTTGATCATGGAGGCCTTAGAATGCAACAGAGTTGCAAGAATATGAGTCTGGACTATCCCCAGATGGGAGCAGAAATGAAACCCATGTGAACGAGAAGTGTCTAACGAGGAGCATCAACATTTACTGAAACAGAGACAGCAACCCAGCCTATTGTAAACCCAAAAGCAATCTAACAACCTCGCTGTGTTGTTAGCACCTGAGTACTAAACTTCCATAAGGAGCCTTACTGGCAGAGTCTGGCACATAACAGAGCTAGTTTTGATCAGGTCAGGTAGCTGAAGATTGAACCCTTGTTCAAACAATGATGGGCAATTGTGAGAGGACATTCCCCTTTTCAAAGCTGGTTTTTCTGTTTACTCCAGAGAACTGCACTTGGGAAGCTATGAGACCTCCTCACATGACTTAAGACTGCTCAGGATATCCAAGGGAGTACCATGATTACAGTGGAAAAAAATATGAAATCGTCATGGAGAAAAAAAATGGGACAAAACTGCCTACATTTAGGTTTTTCAAGGCTTCTGAGGGGTAGGAAGGAGCTAAGGCAAGGCTGCCTCCTAACTGTTGTCCAATCCAAGATATCATCAAATAAGCTCCCAAGAAATATGTGGCTTCACAACAGATTTGCACTGAAATTAATAATTTAAGTACATTCCTCTAGATATGTAATTTCAGTCAGATGAGCAGCTAGTACAAACGTTTCATTTGCTACTAAAATTATTTTTACATCTCAAGTTTAGTTCAGTACAAGAGATTATATATTTAAGCCAATGAAAAAGGTTTCAGTTAACTGAAACAAGCAGGTGGACTGTTTTCACACTTAAAAAACCAGGAAAAGTTAAATCTCAGAACACAGTTTTCTTGTTTGGCCAAAACTCACAGCACAAACTACTTTACAAAAAGAAGTGTCAGGAATGCAAGACATCTTAGAATCAGATCAGCAGTTTAAGAGGATGTTTATTAAAAGGTATAGTTATGCATTCATTCATTCATTCATTATGTATTCAGATATCTCTACAAAGCTGCTTTTGTATCTTCCTTGTTAATCAGGGTTTTTGTGAACATGGTATAATTCTGGGAATTAACTAATATTCTGAGCAAATATTTTGATCTACCTAAAGTATTCAAAATTTGATCATTTTAAATTTCATTGCACAAGTAACCCAATGCAAATATTCTGCATACTTCCTAAATAGTTACATCATTAATGTAAGGCATTCAAGGCCAGGCTGGATGAGGCTTTGAGCAACCTGGGCTAGTGGGAGGTGTCCCTGCCCATGGCAGGGGGGTTGGAACTACATGATCTTTAAGGTCTCTTACAACCCAAACCATTCTATGGTTCTGTGAGTTTTAAGTAAAAAATTTTACAGGTGGCTAGGTAGGCACTGCTGTGACAAATACAATGTGGCAAGTTCTCTGACAAGAGCTGGTTTTTGAGGGTTTGGATTTCTTTCAAAGCACGTTTTCATATCAAACTACACTGATCTTTACAATTAGACTAATTTGACTAGCAAATACTAATAAAGTAACTGTTTAAAGAAAACATAACATCTGTTTAATATATACTACTTTTAAGTGTTTAATGGAATACTACTGATGTTTTCAGCACAAACTTATCAACATCATACTGCTTTTCAGTGTATAGCAAGCAGAAAGGTCAACTGTATCTAACACTCATCTGCCAACTGCTTAACAAAAATAACAAATTATGGACAGAGTCCCTGTAAGTTTTGGACAGGAACATTAGCAACTAAAAAATCTTGATGAAGGTTCATGGTGTAACGTGTTTGTTTATACAAGTAAACACACAAAATACCTTTATAATCTCTTTACAAAAATATATGATTTGCTTCCTTGCACACCAAAGTTTCTAAAGCTAATACAGTTTGTACACCATAGTGTGAGATTTATTATGTTATACTGCAGAAACCTGTTTAGCCCCTGATTTACAATCCTGGCAATTGTATTCAACTGTCATCATAATTACAGCTAACTGCAGATTACCATATTGCAAACTCTCATCTTTGAGAAAGAAATACGGTGTTCTGCTAAAAAAGAAAAAGAATCAAATGTCCTGAGGGCTAATGAACAAAAACGCACTATTCCATGTTGGACTGCAAACCTAAACTCTTTGAATTGGTGCCGTAAAACTTCAAATTGCTATTTGTTGGCAAGTTGTTTTAGCCTGAAGTACTTACATAGTAAATCACCATTACACTAATACTGTACCTTTGGCCTGAAACATATTAATCTTGGTTAACAATAAGTGACATTTACATTACCAATTCAATTCAGGCATTGTGGTGACTAAACATATATGCAAGAGCTTCAGGGAGAAAAGTTATTAGTTCTGAATGTGTCCTTACTTTTTACTGAGAACAATTTTGAAAAAACATTATCATCAATTCTTGTTATAATCTTATAACATAAACATTCAAATCCTAATTGATCTGTAAAACATTTGACTTGGAGTAAAATCCACATCTGTTTCTTGGGTGCAGCTAACTGCACAACATATATGATATTTTTCAAGATACATACTTCTATACTTTATCTGCTCAAAGAAACTGGGACTTTTAAAACTTGAGTTCTTGGGAAGGAAAATGGGAACTTGAAATATTCTGAAGGATATGGCAGCAGGATGTGACAAAAAGTACCAGATCCTCCCAGGAGAGGGAGGATGGACTTCTTCAGCCAATTTCTTTCTGTTCACATTTACTACGCCCATAAATGCATAAATAATAATAATTTTAAACAGGTAGGGTGGTTTTGCTTTTCTTAGTGCC